CTCCCCCCTCAGCCCTACACTGCCTCTGCCGAGTAGAGTCACCCACTCTCCCTCGGCCCCAATATAGGACCAATCCTCTCCCCCCATTTCCCCAGGAGCATGCAGTTCCCACCTAAAGCATGCCCCCCCACCCCTTGCCCATTTCCACCTCCGCAGGGACTGATGTTGACCCACACACAGTCCTTGCCCCAGAATAAGGCAACCCCCTACTCCGCCCCTACCCTCTTTGAGACATTCACCCCCCACCTTGCGATGCCCCTGCAGGATAGAGCTCCCCCCACCCCCTTCCCACCGTTCAGCCCTCCGGGAACAATCTGATCCAGCCGACTACAGTTATTGATGACACACTTACCAAAATATCATTTGCTTGGATTTTGTTGGATTTTGTTGATGACGATGGACAGCACCCTGAAGACGTCAGTCCGGTTCCTATTCCACCGGCAAGTCAAAATGTACGTTCCATCAATAAACACTCACACACGCTTCCTTCCGTCAGGCCGAAGGACCCCTGAACAGCATTGATTGCTCCACCGCGGTGGAGGATTGACTGTCAGCTTGCCCTGTCCCTCTCTTTCCTCTCAGACCTGGATTCCAGATCTGCCAGATAGCGCCATTGACCCTAGAAAGAGCTCATCCGTTGTCCTTGCCGATCTGTTCCTTCCCCACACACCTCCCTGCCCCTTTCGATGATCAACCGTCTAACCTTAAACCCTAAACCCTCAGCCTGCGTTCCTGTCCTCCGATCGTCAAACTTGGAACCTGGCAGGACTTCGTTTGCTTCTGGACCTCTGTGATAAAATCTTCCTTTGCAACCCCCGTTCATGCTCCAGTATTATCACCTTCTCCAATTTTTCCTCCTTTCTCCCACGTTCCCTCTTTGTCTGTACCCCCTGGGCCTCTTAAGGATTGTATTCATTCTCTTGTGGCCTAAGATGTGATTATGCCCTCCGACACTGCCTGTTGTTGAAAGCCCCTTTCTGGAATTGAATTGTGCCATTCTTTCCAGCATACCCGGTCCTGTCACAATTCTGCAACCTTGCCATTTACCAGCCAATTCCTATAGATCTCAGCCTCTCCTTCTTCCGCTGTTCTTCTGTCCAGGCTTGTTTGATCTTCCGCCATATGCAAAGGATCTCAGCTTGAATCATTGTTCTAGTTTCTATCCACACCTTCTCCCGTGGGTTGGACTGCCCTTCAATTAAAACGTCTCCAGTGTGGATTTCGTGTGATCTCTCAATGTGCATCTGCATGAGGTGACGAACTAGTTGGTCCAATGCACAATGATCCTGGAGCATGAATCATCACTCACTGCGATGATTCTTTTTCAGCAGGAAATACAGTATCCATTTGCTAATTATTTCATCCCATCTACGTCCATCAGGATTTGAACTTGGGTCTGTATTTCAACAGTTCATGGCTGTAGGCAACTGAGCTAAGCTCGGTGGTGGAATATCCATTTGGTACTGCCGTCTTCACCCGAATAGAACGCCCGGTAATTATCGCTGTATCTAGACTGGAAGTTGCCCCAAATACAGCTATAATGACCGGGCGTTCTATTCAGGTGAAGACGGTAGTGGAAAGTGCCAACGTTTCGAGCGGTTGAACTTTGTGAGAGATTGTTGACAGATTGATGCAAATGCTGATGGCCTCTGTGGAGTATTTTCTGCAGCTTGAGGAATGTCGAACGTTTTACAGCAAGAAGGTAAAGGAACTCTCAAAGAAGCTGGCAGAGGCAACAAGCGAGAAGACCAAGGAGGATGGTGGTGGCATCCAGATGGCAGGAGCTCAAGACAGTTTAGCGAAGAAAACAAAGCCAAATGGTCTCACAGCGGGAGCTTCTAAAGAAGTAGCAAGTGAGTGCCATTGCGGTTTTCTTGCCTTTTCCAGAAAACTGTTGCTTTTTCACTTGCATTTTTTTTTTTGTTTTAAGATTTTTGTTTGCATCTTCTTTTTTATTTTATTTTATTTTTTTTTAAATCAGGGCCTTATGGTCCCGGCTCCATTCTATTCTGGGGAGCGTCAGTCCAGTTCCTATTCCACAGGCAAGTCAAAAATATTACATCGTTGGGACTCACTCACGCTTCCTTCCGTCTGGCCGAAGGACCCCTGGACAGCATTGATTGCTCCACCTCAGTGGAGGATTGACTGCCAGCTTGTCCATCCTCTCTCTTTCCTCTCAGACCGTATAATTAAGTCTGCCAAATTCCATCGCTAAATCCTAGAAAGAGTCCCTCTTTTGTGTTCATCAACCCTAGCCCTTCCCATTCCACCTGCTTTTCCTTTCACCTGAGCACCCATTAAACCCTGAACCCTAAACCCTCGTCCTTCTTAACAACTCCCCTATATGCCATTCCCATTCCAAGGATCGCCTTCCTCATTGCTCCGGGACTCTTTGCTTTGACCCTTTTACCTCCCTTGCTCGCCTTCATTACTAGCTTGCATCCTGGTCCCCACTGTTGTACATCAAAAGTAGTGACCCAAAAGCAGAACTGTCTCAGTTAGGTTCTGGCTCGAGGGTTCCACTCCCTGATTCCGTGCTTTGCTGTTCCAAATTCCTTCTTGAAGCGGAATTGTGCCACTCCTTCCAACAGATACGATCATTCCTCAACTCAGCAACCTTCCCCTCTGCCAACCATGTCTTGGTGAACTTGTTTCTAGCCTTCTTCCGCTGCTCTTCATCGTCTGTCCATGTACTCTTGATCCTCTTCCATCTGCATAGAATTTCTGCCTGTATCAGACCTTTGCCTCCACCCAGACTCTCTCCCGTGCGTTCGCAGCCCCCTCAATCGTTCTGCTGCATCTTTCCTTCCATATGACCCAAAGGGCGGTCTTCCTGATGATCTCGAACCAGATCCTTTCTGCTTTCCGTGGCCACTTAGGGATATCAATCAGAAGGAGAAGTTGGATGGGTGTCTCAGGGAACGGGGAAGTGAAGAGGGAATCCCAAAGGGTGGATGCTCTCGCCCAATAGTGTGTTGCTTCTTTGCAGTATATTAGGCAGTGTACTATATCCTCTACTGCATTATCCGTGCACACCACACAACGGTCAGAACTATCCGGTACAGACTCTTTCCTCATGATATGTAGCCACTGATTGACTGGTAAAGCTGCGTACGTGATTAACCACTGGAGGCTTCGGATTTTGACTGGTCTAATCATCTTGTATGTTTTCCACGGAATCTTCGTAATTTTATCCGCCTCCAGGCCTATTATCTTTAGCCATCTTGTTTTGATGACGGGTTCAGGGTTTTTCGTTTTTAGCATGAGTTTGTACCCTAGCTTAACCGTGTATTCCTGTATAAAAGTGCGCTTCTTAACATTTTTCTCCTTGTCCGGTTTCCATGCCCACTCCCCCGGGTCGAACTCTAGGTCTCGAATGGCTGTGTCGATTCTGAAGATCGATTAAGGCCAAACCCCTAGCACTCTCACTTTCCTGCGTAGGAAAACTTCTATAACTATGGTTTCTACATCAGTATTCCCGACCGATGGCGTGCCCTTCGCTGTGTGCGTGATTGGGAAGGATGTTGCATCTTCTTTTTTCTTATTTTTCTTTTTAAAGAAGTTTTCATTGTATTGCATGTATTGCAGGGTTGCATACCTGCCGACCGCCGACCCCAACCGCCGGCTGTTCTGCAGCCGACCAGTAGGGCCGACCGGTCTGCGGTCCGCCGACCTGTCGCATGCCAGACCAGAACCAAGAACCGACCTCTCAAAGATGGAGCAATGATATCACAGCAGAAGACTGAAATACCAACAATCAGACCCAATCAATGTTGTGACACAGACTGAACCATAGCAATCATCATCATCATCACACGGTGTGAGTGGCCTGGCGCCGAACACAGAGACGAAGGGTGCCAGGCACGCAATCATACACAGATGAGGAGGGAGGAGAGATGAAGGTGGAAGATATGGAGAATGTCGTTGATACCGATCCAGAAATAGTCCCCCACAATATCTCTTCCCCAATGTCAAGTCTGAATCCGAATGTCGCCAAATCCCAATGTCGCAAATCTCTCTCTCTCTCTCTCTCTCTCTCTCTCTCTCTCTCTCTCTCTCTCTCTCTCTCTCTCTCTCTCTC